CCCCAAAACCCCAAAACCCCAAAACCCCACTTAAGCTTTAAAGAATTGAAAATAACCTGACTTTATATAATGAACAAAAAGAGTCTTGCAATCTTCATACTATTACTTCTCATAGTTGGAGAAACATTCGCAAGAAGAGCGAGGGGTGGAAATAGTTATAGGCGCAGAGCTAGAAGTTCTACCACTTCAGGGAGCAGATCTTCTGGCTCTTGAGGAGGCAGTTCAACTACCTGTATCATTATCCCCATCTGTTGTATTGCTGGCTTTATACTCCTGATCGCTATGATAATTGTCATATGGCAATGATGGAGAGCATATAGAAAGAAGCACAAAGGCTCAATGAGCAATAGATTAAAGGAAGCTCGAAAAAGAAGACTGGAGTTAGAAAAAAAGCAAAGACAAGAAGCTTCAAAACTCCAAAAACTTCAAAAAGATCAAGAAGAAAGAGCTGAAAGACAATACAACGCTCAAATAAGCTCTCACTCCTCTACAACTCCAGCTAAACTCTCCACTCAAGCTTCTCACCCTCAGTTCATAATGCCTGGCTCTGCTCTCCAGCCTACCTACAATATTGTGAATCCTTATGCTGGCAACCACAACCCTCACCCAGTACCAGTGGCTTATGACCCAGCCATGTACGGAGTCCAGTACGATGCTAACGTTCAGATTCCTCCACAAAGACTACAGACTCCTTACACAAACCGTCCTAACAGAAGAGAAAGCCAAAATTCTTCCAAGCTAACCAATCCAGATAGAAAAAGAGTATAGATCAATGACTTGGTTACAAGCTGGCAAGGATTTTATATTGACTCTATCTGTAAACATTGAATAAGATTTCAGATAATCATATAACTAAAAAGCCTTGCTTTCCTTCAGCCTATGCTTCCTTATTCCCTCTAGTCCTGCCCAATCTTAGCTTAAGTCTACTCTTTCGTGCTAAATCCTAGTACAGCTTCTTTGATAATAGGCAGATTCGTAATTCTGATATGGAATTAGGAGAACTGATGAATGGATGTATGAATTCTGAAAGAAATTAGATAGTAAGGTGTATTCTATGTGAGAAAAATAGGTACTAGATCTGAGCGATTCGTTTCTGGACTTATAGGTTTAATTCTGACATGAAAATCCTGACCTACTTCTAAGGGAATAGATCCATCAAGGACAGCTTTAGTGGGGCTCAGTCTCGATATCGTGACACCTTGTTTAACCCCTTGTTATCCAAGAAGTCTGCTATTTTATGCTAAATTAAATTCTATTCTTCATCTACTCTTCATCTTACACACATGGCTCAACTTCAACTCCAGTTCCCTTCCACATATCTAACCTCTAACATCAACATCATAACACCTAGCCGGGGTTTTGGGGTTTTGGGGTTTTGGGGTTTTGGGG